CTGTTGAACCCAGTCTAAAGAGGGTTGATTCCTGGTATTATCAAAGAAAAGGGTATTTTTGTTCATTTCAAAAATTTACACCATTTCTTATTAATTAAATTTTTTTTTTAATGTTTACTTACATTTGAGAGAGAGAGAGAGAGAGAGTGCGAATGGAAGGGGGCAGAGAGAGAGGGAGACACAGAATTGGAAGCAGGCTCCAGGCTCGGAGCTGTCAGCACAGAGCCCGACGAGGGGCTCAAACTCAGACTGTGAGATCATGACCTGGGCTGCAGTCAAGACGCTCAACCGACTGAGCCACCCGGGTGCCCCACACCATTTCTTATTCTTAGATTTTGCAGGGGGATGAAACTCATGGCATACATTTGGGCTGTACAACCTGCTGAGTGCACCATACATAGAGTCTTCTATATTATTTGCTTTCAGAAAGTCTGTAAGATTTTCAGCATAAATTCTAGAAATAATACTTCTACATGCCTGAAGTAATCATTTGAAGCACACGGTCCCAGGTGGGGGTTGTGCTCAGATGGTTACTCCAGAATAGATTTATACTACCTGCTGCTGTATGCTTCTTAAAAAAAAAAAAAAAAAGGCTACCCCATAACACTGTCTTCATCACAGAAATATCAGTAAATAGAGAACAAACTGGCCTTTGAGAACAGGTCATATCAGGCAATATTACTTCAGGAAGACCTGAACTTATGTTATTTCAGAATAAATCTAACTGAAAAGGAGAAAAATAATAACAGGAAAGGAGATAATAATAGGAAATAACTCCAGGAAGACTTGTTCTTAAATTGTTTCAGAATAAATCTAAAGCAACCAAAAAGGAAGAAAATAATAATAGGAAATAATATTAAATGGAGCTACGCTTAACAATCAGAAGATCCTTTTTTCCTGTAGCTGTCAGTGCCTCAACCACCAGAGTTAAGTCCCCTTGCACCTTTTTTTACTTCCTCTGTCACAGATGTCCCTTTAGTTGCTACTTCAAAACCTAGAATATCTTTTCACTGTAACCCCCAATCCCCAAACCCCTTCTGTGCTTAAGCTGTGGGTCTGACATGAAGTACATAGCTCTTTGTTCTTTTTGTTATAAAGGTGTTTCCATCTAACATCCACAACGAAATGTCCATAGCAACAGTAGCTACCGTCTTTGGGCAATGGCTGTGGTCTTAGTCTTACTCCACCTAATGAGCGAGGTGTTGATATTCAATAGTATGGAATGTTTTCAGGGATCAGAGTTCTTTGAATTGCTATTGGCTTTGAGTAGCGCTGATCACACCATGAATTCCTCCCAAAAGTTGGCCTTGGAGATGGCCCTCACCATTTTCTTAATGAGAGAAGTTTAATATTTAATATTCAGAATTCACTGGGATTTTGTATCCATAGACCACAAATTGCATTTTGATACTTAATGTCAATAATTTGGGCTTTTTTAAATAAAGAGAATTTCCTTTTTTTTAATGTTTATTTATTTATTTTGAAAGAGGGAGAGAGAGAGAGAGAGAGAGGGAGAGCGAGCTCTGAAGGGGTAGAGAGAGAGGGAGAGAGCAAGCAGGCTCCACACCATCAGCACAGAGCCCTATGTGGGGCTCAAACTCATGAACTGTGAGATCATGACCTGAGCCGAAATCAAGTGTTGGTCGCTTAATTGACTGAACCACCCAGGCGCCCCAAGAATTTCCTTTTTTTAAACGAAAGCCTACCACTTAGAAATACTCCAATTCAGGATGCTTTTATTTCTCTATTTATTATGGATACTTCCATAGTTAGCAAGGTGTCCATTATGTGCAAAATGGACAATTTCAACTAAAAAGTATCCAGCCATATATTTCATTAAGGTCTGATCAATATATCATAAAAGGTATAGTGTTCTAAATTTATTTTATTTCACACTGGAGATCTAGGATATGTTCTTCTTATAAAGAATAGAAATAATACACACTCTTGTTCGCTTTCTTGTATATTTCTAGGATTCAGACAATTTCATCAATGACTCAGTTAATATCAACAAACTCACTGTGGACCAACACAGCCTTTTCCTAGAAGCCTGACATCGTAGAAGATTTTGACTTTTGCATTCAAGGCTAGATTTTTTTTTTTAATAGAGACATAATTAGGTCATTCAAAGAACCTGTTAAGTACAGGTTAAACTTCAGTCCAAATAGCACAAGTGAAATGGGAATCAATGAAAATATGTTGCTTCCCCTCTGAAAGTCACAGATATGACCTTTGAAAACCTGCTACGTGGGTTATTCTGGCAAAAGAAATAAGCTGGTGACTAAGTGAGAAGTATATTAAGACTTTCCCACACACTGTTTAACACACAATACAGCAATTCGTATTAGTAATAAGGAGAAAAGGAAGGCTATTGGGAAGAAAGATAAAGAGCTGCCAGGCTGAACGCACCAACAACTGCATCTCAGTGGGACAGGCACACCTGAATGTCTCAATAATGTAAGTACGTTAGAATTATCAGAGAGAAACAAAAACTAAACTTAAAATTCAAACTGTTGCTTTGAAGCCTGGGATAATAAACTGTCGTCCCCTTGCTGGCTAGAAAAGCCTCCTGTTTTCTCAGTTTACACAGTTTATCCCACAATGAGTCATAGATTTTCATTTGCTCTCTACATATAAAAGGTATTTTAAGAATGTCACATGACTGCTCTCTTTCAGGTTTTCTACTTTCCTCCTTTCAAAATGTCCATTATTGCTTGTGAAGTGGAAGGAAGGAGCTGGGAACCAAGTTATGAAACCACCAGATCGCTTTCTTATCAATGGCATAATCTTGTAGACATTTACTCTGATAATTTAATTAAAAAAATCCTAACCTTCAGGTGAATATATTTCTGATTCTTATTCATTTTACTGCTGCTGTGCAGCCAACAAACATACCGAGTTCTGCTTAATACAAGCCCTGACAAATTGTCCTTGTTCTTGACGAGGGTTCTAGTTCTCCCTGATGAGCTTTTGATGGGTAGCAGAACAATGCAACAATTGGTAACTTAAATCCATGCTCCACAAAACCAACAACCAACTTACAAATATTAAAAAAAATTTTTTTAAACGTTTATTTATTTTTGAGAGAGAGAAAGACAGAGTGCGAATGAGAGAGAGAGGGAGACACAGAATCCGAAGCAGGCTCCAGGCTCTGAGGTGTCAGCACAGAGCCTGATGCACGGCTCGAATACACGAAATGCAAGATCATGACCTGAGCTGAAGTTGGATGCTTAATCGACTGAGCCACCCAGGTGCCCCCAACTTATAAATATTTTAATGACAGTTTAAGAAAATGGCATTTTAATTTTGGTGAGTGTCTAGCACTCAAGAAATATTATGATTTATTAGAGAACTTAACTTTGTTGGACCAAAGAGATGGGAAGCTGTTTAGACAGTTAAAAATGCTGTACATTTTCACAAAACACACTTTTGGAATGTCTTAAGGAATAAAATAAAAAGAAATATAGTTTATACACTGCCAAAAGCACTCCCCTAGCCTGTGACATTATTATTAGGGCACATTTTTCAATGACTTTTATAGATTCTTTACAATGCAGACAAGATTTTTGCTTTAATGAAAAACTGTGCCTTGCTTAGAGCACACCCTTCCAGGTTATCAACTTCTGATTTTATGGGGCTCTGCATCTTTCACGGCTTTTGAGCTACTTTACAACTCTGTAAGTTGTAGATAACTAGTAGCAGTGGAAAGTAATTCTTGTCTATAGACACATAAATAAATTCTGTCTAGTGGAGGTTTAATTGACATCCCTCTCACATTGTGGAAGAAACCAGGTTCATTTCAATATTCCTGATCTTTACGTGGTAATGTTCTTGGATAGCTCTTTGAACTGGATGTAACATCTTACTGGTTCCCTCATTAATCATGACAAATTTAAAAAAGGAGTTAAAATCTTTAGCATGTGTCTGTATGAGAGTTATGATTTTTTTATTTGGGTGAAGTTTTCTGTAACAACCATTTATTTATTTTTTTAATATCTTTTTTCTTTTTAAAAACATTTTTTTGAAGTTTATTTATTTATTTTGAAAGAGACAGAGACAGCGTGGGTGGGGGAGGCACAGAGAGAGAGGGAGACAGAGATCCCAAGCAGTCTCCATGCTGCCTCTGTGGGGAGCCCCATGCAGTTGGCTCAAACTCACAAAACCGTGAGATAGTGACCTGAGCTGAAACTGAGGGACATTTAACCTAATGAGCCACCCAAGAGTGGCCTTTAGTAACAATTTAAATGAAAAGTAGGTTTTTGTATGGATAGGTTTTAAAAAAATTGTTTTTAAATGTTTATTTTTGAGAATGGGAGAGAGAGACAGAGACCAGGGGGAGTGCAGAGAGAAGGAGACAGAATCCAAAGCAGGCTCCAGGCTCTGAGCTGTTAGCAGAGCACCCAACACCAGGCTCCAACTCACGGACCTCGAGATCATGACCTCAGCCAAAGTCAGATGCCCAACCAACTGAGCCACCCAGGTGCCTATTATGGAAAGTTTTGATATTAGGTGTCTATAATCTCTGATCTCACAGATGGTTATCAGTTTTCTCTTTTTCACTTGTGCCATACTTTTCTTTAACTTTCATTCAGCTATTATTCCTTTTTTTTTTTTTTTAACCTCAGAGAAACTTTCTGATGAGAGGTAAGCCAATGCAACAATTGGCAATTTAAATTTGTGCTCCACAAAGTTAAGACAAACAAACAAGCCTATTAAGATTTTAATCACTGTTAAAAAAAAACAATGTATTCTTATTTTGGCAACAATCTAGCACTCAAGAAATACTTCTGATGGTTTATAAGAGAACTTGATTTTTTTGAGCTATAGAGATGGGAAAACTCTTCAGACAATTTTAGTGCTGTATATTTTCATGTAACTCTCTTTTGGAAGTTAATGTTTTTATTGAGACCTTTCATAAATGATTCCTAGGAATCATTACACTGTATTCAAAGGAAACATTTCACAACATCCAAAAAACAAAACTAGATTTTTATACTCACTGTGCCCCACCAGAGAGCATCTGCATATGTAGAAAACTCTTTATTGGCATCCTTTTCCACAAGATAGACAAGGAAAGATGAAAAAATAAGAACCAAAAATCCTATGTACCAAGCCGTGATTAATTCCTAGATATAAAAGGAATTGAAAGATCGTTAGAAGTAAAAAATCCGTGTAAAAGGGAAAAAAAAAACCTATGCATTCATTTTACTACTTTTTGGATAGTTATGATAATATTTATTTATTTATAGGATTTACTCCTTTTTTAATGTTTATTTATTTATTTATTTAAAAAATTTTTTTTTTCAACGTTTATTTATTTTTGGGACAGAGAGAGACAGAGCATGAACGGGGGAGGGGCAGAGAGAGAGGGAGACACAGAATCGGAAACAGGCTCCAGGCTCCGAGCCATCAGCCCAGAGCCCGACGCGGGGCTCGAACTCACGGACCGCGAGATCGTGACCTGGCTGAAGTCGGACGCTTAACCGACTGCGCCACCCAGGCGCCCCTGTTTATTTATTTTTGAGAGAGTGCAAGCTGGGGAGTGGCAGAAAGAGGGGACAGAGGATCTGAAGCAGGCTCTGTGTGGACAGCAGACAGCCTGATGTGGGGCTCGAAATCACTCACCGCGAGATCATGACCTGAGCCAAAGTTGGATGCTCAACCAACTGAGCCACCCAGGTGCCCCGAATTTGCTTTTTTTATTCAGTGGATGTCCCAGTGAACAGGACAACTTCCTCAGGTTTCTTTTTTAAATGGCTGTACAGTATTCTAAATGTATGGGTTTACTGTAATTTATTTGAGGCGTAAGGACTTGGAAAGCGTTGCTTTTTATTTGAGTACACAATCTTACATTAGTTTCAGGTGTACAGCATCCTGATTCTACATCTCTGTATGTTATGCTGTGCTCACCACAAGTGTGGCTGACATCTGTCACCACACATACTGCTACAGTATCACTGTCTATAGTCCCTGTGCCGTCCCTTTTATCCCTGTGACTTAGTCATTCCCTAACTGCAAGCCTAGACCTCCCTCTCCCTTTTACCCACTTTGCCTCTCCTCCCAATCTCCTTCCCTCTGGCAACCGTCTGACGACTTTTGAGCAACCCATTATACATTGTGCTGTGGCCAATTTCTGAAATGACTCAGTTTGCTTGATGGGTTCTACTCTCCCACAGCAATCAACGAAAACGTTTCAAAAGTCTTGTTCTGCAATTCAGAAAGCAGATCTTACCTTGCTGTGAGCATAAACCACCGAACCTAGTAATTTCCAAGTGCCTCCCCTTCGGTCCATGCGCACCATACGGAGGATCTGTAGGAAACGGAGACTTCTGAGTGCAGACGTGGCGAAAATATTACCCTGAGTTTTTGCAGAAACAACTGCTATCGAAGCGATAAGAACAATGGTATCTGAAAGAAACAGGTTGAAACAATCGTAAGTAGCAGGACTAGGAATTTTGATTTCTCAAAATAATGTTTCAGAAAGTTTCACTTTGACCTATTTGAGGCACAAAGAAACAGATCCAACCCCAGCCTGGAATGGTGCTACTTGGGCTTTGTGATAACTGAAGAGTGAAAAGGGAAGGAAGAAAACCTACTTAACTGCCTTAGTTCTGACCCCTTGGCCGTTCTATGCTTTATGTATGCAATTCTGAACCATTTGCTATGTAACCTTTGATGAATTGGATGGCCAGTGGCCTTCAGAAAGTTCAGTGTACCAGGGAGCAGTGAGGCTGTACGGCTCTGGTTTCTCAGCATTCACGTCTGGCAGAAAGGAGCTTCTGCCTCAGTCCCACCACGGTGGCTTCCTGGGTGATGCCACAGAGGCACCACAGCCTGCACGGCTCTGAACGTGCTGCTTGGTATAATCCTATTTCTGGTTTTCTTGCCAAGGAAACTCATAGCTCCTTTCTCCAAAAAGTTCCCTTATGCTGGGGAACCATGCACCATTTAACAAAGGTCTTAACTGAGGTGCATCCTCTAGGCTCTCTGCACAGAGTACTCTTTACGCCTGGTCAGTTACATGGAAGTTTGGTATACAAATGAAACAATACTACATTTGTTACAACAGAGCATGTAATTATATACACTGTACATTGCATGGGAATGGATATTTGATGTTTGACATTGACATTTGGCTTAAAATACATCTGCCCTTTTGTAAGCTAAAAAAGAGAAAAAAGAGCAGCTAATGAAAGCATAAAAAAAAAAAAAAAAGGACTTAATTGCTCCGAGGGCAAATATCTGAGGGATGGCAAGTAGGTTCTGAAGAGGGAGAAGTCAAGTGGGGATGAATGGCCTCCTATGGCAATTTTAAAATAAGTTAACTTGACCTTAACGTTCTCAAATAAATTTTCTTTCCCACTCCAAGTGGGCTGTGAATGACTGGGTGTCCATACTCCAGAGACAGGTTCCACTTCAAGGGCATTGGATTTATAATGTTTCTGTGACCCTCAGCATTAACTGCTGTATGAATCTGTATTCATCATCCAGCTGAGTCCTTCTCCCTGTACTGAGCAAACTCTGGTCTCCTGGTGTGGACTGAGCACATCTTTTGAATGACTCTTCTGGTCCCCTTTTTGGGTCAGGACTTGGAGTGGCTGGCGGTACAAGGGTCAGCTAAAGGGCTTTTTCCAATCAGATCTAAACACTATAGGACTTTGTGAGTAGGTACACAGGAAGCCACAGCACCTCCTTGAGTTACAGCTCTGTGCTGCTGTTGGAAATGAGAAGGAACTAAATGTGTTGACAGAGACACCAAAGACATATTTTAAGAGAGTAAGAAGACAGTTGTAAAGCTATATATACAATGTGATCTTATTTTAATAAAAAATATATGACTAGAAAAGCCATGTGAGAATATATACAGGTTATTACCATTAATTCTCCTTCGGGGTAGAGAGTGGGGTGAATATGTGGGTAAAGGGACTTTTTACTTTGAGTTATTAATTTCTGTAATATTGAATTTTATAACAATGAAAATGACTTTTGAAATCAGAAAAAAACTTTATTTTTAAAATGTTTATTTATTTATTTTGAGAGAGAGAGAGAGAGACAGGGGAGGGACAGAGGGAGAGGGGGAGAGAGAATCCCAAGCAGGATCCACACTGTCAGTGCAGAGCCTGACTCAGGGCTTGAACCCACGAACCGCAAGATCATGACCTGAGCTTAAATCAAGAGTCTGATGCTTAACCGACTGAGCCACCAGGTGCCCAGAAAAAAACTTTAGAGAAGAGTTAAGTGTAAAAACATCTCTTGGTCTGTATCATTTGGAGGGATTTCCTCCTGAGATAAGTGATTTACAGACAAAGACATTTCTTATATGGTCCTGTTAGATATATATTTGCTTTTACTTCTCATTGTAAACCTGCTTCCTACCAAGTGTACAAAGGAAAGGAAAAAGAACAATACCCCATTTACCATGTTAAAATATTCAAGATAGTAGAAATAAGCAAATGACTGAGAGGGGTGCAGAAAATACAGCATGTAAAACTTACTGTGTACCTGGCACTTTCTTTAGTTCTGTGTTTTTTTTTAATTAAAAAAAAATTTTTTTTCAACGTTTATTTATTTTTGGGACAGAGAGAGACAGAGCATGAACGGGCGAGGGGCAGAGAGAGAGGGAGACACAGAATCGGAAACAGGCTCCAGGCTCTGAGCCATCAGCCCAGAGCCTGATGCCGGGCTCGAACTCCCGGACCGCGAGATCGTGACCTGGCTGAAGTCGGACGCTTAACCGACTAAGCCACCCAGGCGCCCCTAAAAATTTTTTTTTTAGTGTTTACTTATTTTTGAGACAGAGACAGAGCGTGAGCAGAGGAGGGGCAGAGAGAAAGAGAGGAGACATAGAATCTGAAACAGGCTCCAGGCTTCAGGCTCTGAGCTGTCAGCACAGAACCTGATGCGAGGCTTGAACCCATGAACCACTAATTCATGACCTGAGCCAAAGTCAGAAGCTCAACCGACTGATCCACCCAGGTGCCCATAGTTCTGTGTTTTTTTATGATGCTCATTATTTGATCCTTATAACAACTCTGTTTGTTGGTTAGGTCATCTACAGATCCCATTGTACAGATGAGAAAAGTGAGGCACAAAAAGCATATACTGTATTAGTTTAAAAGAATCAGCCATCAAGCTGTCAGACTACAGCACAAAAAGTATGAAGCTATGAAGTTATGCTAGCTCATTAGAGAAAACCTAGACAAAGTAAAAGCAACAGTATCGGTTTGAGACAATTTAAAAAATTATGCACACAGTGAATCATAATCTAAGTGTTTGAAGTCACAAAATATGCAAAGGTAACTACAGATATGATTTAACACCCTCATTGTAATTCAGTTCAGATGAGAAAGTCAGAGTTCAGTAAAATGAAATCATAGATGAGCGACCAAATGGCAAATGATGAATGCAGTCATAACAATGTTTCTGGTTGGATTACAGTCCTCCACTGAATTTTGCTGTCAGTACCACCTAGAAATATTTCCCAGGCCCATATTTTAGAAGTTATGACTACTCCTTATTTTTATTTTTATGTATGTATTTATTATTTCTGTAGTCCATTACTTTATAGATTGGAGGTTCCACAAGGTTGGATACTTGTGTCCCAAGTACATAGTGTAGTTCCTGAAACATAGTAAGCACTCAATAAATATTTATAGAATGAACTCTGGTTAATAAATACTTAAAAATAGCTTGATTTTTGTTCTCTTACCATATCACTGCCTTAATAACTAGAATCATCATCTAAAACTCTTTTTTAAAAAAATTTAAATGTTTATTTATTTTTGAGAGATAGACAAATCACAAGCAGGGGAGGGGCAGAGAGAGAGGGAGACAGAATCTGAAGCAGGCTCCAGGCTCTGAGCTGTCAACAGAGAGCCTGACACGGGGCTTGAACTCACAAACTGTGAGATCCTGACCTGAGCCAAAGTTGGATGCTTAACTGACTGAGCCACCCAGGTGCCCCTAAAATACTCTTAAATTAATGAAGGGATCATTTCAGTATTCTATCTTGAAGTCTACTGCAACATATCGATTCATAGCTATCATCTATTAAAGTTATAACTCTCACTAAGATTTCCTTTTTTTTTTTTAAAGTTTACTTATTTTGAGAGAGAAAGCACGTGCACATGCACGAGTGGGGAAGGGCAGAGAGAGAGAATCCAAGCAGGCCTCATGCTGTCAGTGCGAGCCAGACATGGGGCTCAAATCCACGAACCGTGAGATCATGACCTGAGCTGAAACCAAGAGTCAGACACTCAACTGAGTGAGTCACCCGGGAGCCCCAACATGTCCTTTTTATAAAATTAGGTGCGGGCAGTTTTTTTTTTATGTTTTTTTTTATTAAAAAAAATTTTTTTTTTTTATTTGGGAGAGAAAGCATGAGCTGGGGAGAGGGGCAGAGGGAGAGAGAGAGAGAATTTTAAGCAGTCTCCTTAAGCAGAGAGGTAGGGGCAGTTTTTAAAGACAGTGACATAGGAGGCTCCCGAACTCCCTTCCTCCCATAGGCACACTGAATACACAGTTGCACGTGGAGTAATTCCCTCTGAAGGAAATCCAGAAACTAGCTGAGGGAGTCCCACACATTTGGCAAATAAGAAAATACCCACATGGGTAGGAAAGGCTGATGAGACATAATCTTGCCATAAACGTCACTCCTGGTACAGTGCCAAACGGGAGCTAACTTGCAACTCCCAGCTTCTCCCTGAGAGGCTAGGGGTTTGGATCCCACATTTAGCCTCCTAACTTTTAAGACTCCCACTTCAGGGACAGTTCTCCCAAACACCTTGCTCTGAAAGCCAGTGGGGATTGCATCCACAGGATTCACAAAACTATAGCACAAAGAAGCAGTTATTAATGGGTGTGAGCACTGCTATGGCTCTCACCCTAGGGCTCAGTACAGAAGGCACAGGCAGAAATGTCCATCTCTCAGGCTTTCTCTAAAAGGATTCTATTTGCATACTTAAAAAAGTTTTTATTTAAATTCCAGTTTGTTAACATACAGTGTAATATTAATTTCAGGTGTATAAGATAGCGATTCAGCACTTCCATACATCACCCAGTGTTCATCACAAGTGCGCTCTTTATTCTCTATCACCTATTTTACCCATTCCCCTGCCCACCTCCCTTCAGTAACCATCAGTTTGCTCTCTATAGTTAGAGTCTGTGTCTTGGTTTTTCCTCTATGATTGCTTTGTTTCTTACATTTCACATATGAGTGAAATCATGTGCCATTTGTTTTTCTCTAATGGACTTACATTGCTTAGCATAATATGCTCTAGCTCCATCCATGTTGTTGCAAATAGCAAGATTTCATTCTTTTTATGGCTGAGTAATAGTCCATTCTCTCTCTCTCTCTCATATATATATATATATATATATATATATATATATATATGGTATATGTGTAT